AATATGCCATACCCTAAAACTATATTCTTATCTCTCTCTCTCTCTCTCACACACACACACACACACACACACACACACACACACACACACACACATATATATATATATATATATATATATATATATATATAAGAAAGAATGTTCAATATCATCGCTTCATTAACAGAAGAAACTTCATTGTTTTTCTTATTGATATTTATTTATGAGTTAAACTGACACTTAGCAACAGATATGGGTCACACAATTGGAGTCGGACACATTATAAGAATCCATTGTCTTCTAAGTTCGTCCGCAGCCCTTTGTAGAAATCTAAGGCCTCCCATTTTAAATACCATTCACGTACCTATTCAAATGTCCATTGGCCAAAGCTTACATGGCATTTTTTTTTGCTTCTGTTTACTGTGAATACATTCCACAGTCCGATCATATCTATGATAAAGGAATTCCCCATCCCGACACATGTAGCCTAATTTTATGACAGCAGACTGAAAACTCGCCCAAAATGAACTCTCATCTTGAATTTAAATCAAAATTCTAATTCTCTAAATTAAAATATCTTAATTAGAACGATCATTAATGGTAGATTTCTGTTTTGTAAAGTATGCTATCACCACTGGGCTTTATAAACAAAAACAGAATAAATATATTGTTTTAATAGGATTTCTTCGTAATATCCTTATAGATATACTTTGATAATAAAATAGGTTTAATTTCTTCTTCATAGGGAATTGGATTATGTTTTTAACAGAAGTTAGTCACGCTATTATTTGATGTATTTCTGTTTAAATCTTGGTCTGCAAGGGTTGGAAATTGTCATTCTAGGTTTAGCTTGGGTGGGAAAATTTTTAGTTATTGGTGAGAAACAAAAACGGAGTACTAAAAAGAAAGTATTTGTTAAAGGGATTTAATTTTTTTCTGCTTCAGAAAATGTTTACTAATTTGTTTATTTCGAATGTCTTTCCATCAAAATCACTCCAATGAAACAGGGCATATGTGTGTGAGATATATATAGAGAGAGATATTAAGTGAGATTGATAGAGTGATAGAATCGTACAGAGTGAGAGAGAACATAAACGTGATAGGAAGGGAGAACGAGTGAGAGAATGAAAGGTCTCTGTGAAAGAATTATAGAACAAGATAAAGTGAGTAGTAAATAATATATATATATATATATATATATATATATATATATATATATATATATATATATATATATATAGAGAGAGAGAGAGAGAGAGAGAGAGAGAGGGAGTGGATGAAAAAGAAATGAATTCAGTGAGAATTAAAGAAATCTTTGGAGAGTGAATACGAGGGAGAATGAAAAGACCGAGTGTCAACGAAAGAAAAAGTGAGACATTGTTAGAGAAAAAAAAAGTTCGATAAAGGAGGAGAGAGTCAATTTTCACGAAGCTCTGACCAAATAATTCTCAAGATTTGAATTAAAATGGCACTGATCATCTCAACGTCAGTTATTTTCGTTTTTATTTGCAAAGTGATCATCTTGGTCCTAATTTTGTCATTGTTGGTCATTTACACAAAGTGGATAGTCATAGAACATGGTTATCACGAATTTTACAAGTATTTAATTCCAAAATAGTCAAAGTTCTTTTTCTGTATCGTTACAGAAGGAATTTGATTGTCCGGCGTTTGCGATGAACCATCAAAAGTCTTCGCCATCATTAAAGCATGCAAATCAAAAGGCATTCTACTCGTGAAAACCACATTTTACAAGTATGCGATTGTACATGAAATTGCACGTTTGGTTTTTGGTTTTGAGGTGGAAGATTAGAAACAAGTGAATTTATCTGGCAGTGACAATAACCCATCGAACATGGGCATTTTCTCAACTTACGGCACAAGGCCAGGAGGATCATTTCCAACTCAATATAGCAGTAATGGTCTGCATGACAAGCACATTAACAACAACTTCACTAGTTCATGGTTAATTCCAAAGTTCAGTTACTTTGGATAAATATAAATATTCGCCTTTAAATCTTTTGAGATGTCTTTTATTCTGTTTAATATACTTTCACACTCATATATATATATATATATATATATATATATATATATATATATATATTGTTTTTACACGTTTTTTAGTGGATGCTCATGTTTGAGTAGACGCTGCGTTTATTTATTAAACAGTATATTTATTTATTTTCGTACACCAGCCAGAATGTTCGAAATATCTTATTAAAGAAAAAAATATGCGCTCTTCAGCAGGATTCGAACCTGCGTCTCTCTGTGAAGATGAACAGTTATTAGATCCGACGTATTGTAGACGAAAATAAATATACTGGTTAATAAATAACTGCATCGTCTACTGCAATACGAGTATACACTAAAAGTAACGCTTAAAGTGATATAATCTGTCATATTAATAAATAAAAATCCATTATATTCTTTATAATATATATATATATATATATATATATATATATATATATATATATATAAATATTTTATATATAAAAGGTTTTGATTGTGATTGTGAGTGCATGGGTGTTTGTGATTAATTTATGTCCATTTTTGTAATAAAAAATTGACAAAACTCTATATCGAAAGAAAATGTCGAAGTCGTTGATGATCACAAATGAAAAAAAATGATTTTTAAAAATGTACAAGAAAAAATGTCCATTTTTTTTTTTCTTTGACTTTTATTTTTTTTATTTTTTATTTTGTTTTGTTCTGGAATCACTTGGGTCTGGTAAATTCGAAAATACTGCTCTCAGAGCAGAGTGTCTTTCGGTCTGTGCCTTTGTCTGATTCTCGACTGTTGAACCTCTCAGCTAACGAGGGAAATGGTTTTAAAGAAGGAACAGCCTTTGGGTAAGCTATGTGTATATTTGGTCTGCAAAAAAAAAGAAATTTGTATAATAGATCGGGTTGTTTGGGTGTATCGACTTGAGAAAAAATACAATATAAAAGATATAGGCATGCATATACGTAAATGAATATACGTTTGAATAGATTCTATTTATATGCAGTTCAACCAATATATATAGCTGCAAAAAGTCCCCAAGTTCCAATTAATAAAACTTGTGTACAGGCTGTAAATTTCAAAGCCAGGTCCACACAGTTTAAAACTGGCTAGATTTGAGTTAATAGGGACAAAACTTGCATAAAACATTTTGGCCCGATTAGGCAGCCATACTTATAAACGGTGTCTTTATTGTTTGTTTTAAAAGACAGGAGCAATATGCAGTAGATTTTGGCAAAAGTTCTTTAAAAACATTCAATATTTTTCCTAATATATCTTTATATTATTTTATAACATATTTTTTTATTTCATGGTTTAATTTCGGGATTTTAAAAAGTTAGCGTCATTGAAGAGGAATACTAAAGATACAAAGTTGCTTAGAGCTACATGGGACAGGAAGTTGTGGAGAGTCATCATCGCCTAGGTCCTAAATGAACAGGGCACATAAAAGAAGAAAGAAAAAACTTTGTTTCATTCCCTTAATTGATTGCATACGAAAACATTAACTAATAGCAAAAATTAGCTGCATTCATAAAGTTCTAGCATAATATAACTTCGTAAATACACAGTAGATTTTATAGCTTCTTGAATACTAGTTTAGAGGCTTTGAAAATTCCACACACGAAATGGTTCATATAATTGTACCTATACTCTAAAATTCTGATCATAACAAATATGCAGATATACTGACTGAGCAGACAGTGTGTCAGAAAGGCTTACATAAAAGGATGTCCTTATTAAAAAGGAACAAAGTAAACTGAATCTTTAGTATATAAATACACACACACACGAAGATAGATAGATAGATAGATAGATAGATAGATAGATAGGAATTGGGATCAAATACAGTTCAAATTTGGATCAGAATCTGACAGAAAGACAAAATCAACAAATAGTCGCGATGAATACGTATTTAAAAAAATAATTATTATATATATATATATATAATTATTTTTTTAAATACGTATTGCATAAATACGTATTATATATATATATATATATATATATATATATATATATATATATATATATATATATATATATATATGAAATGATGTATTATGTACATTATTCGGACTCATCTTTCTCGCCATGTTTATTACAACGTTTCGGCCGTTGTACACTTCAGGTCTTCTTCAGGTGGGTGGAATGTCGAACTGAACCCTTTATTTCGCTCACTGGGGTAGACTGTTCTAGTTCCACGTGCCATGTTTAATGGATATCAGTTATTAGTTATCTCATGTTAATTCCCCTCTTGAAAGTTCTTCATTGCCTTCACTAACGCCTTTATCCACTGTGCCATGTGTCCACAAGGCACAGGGGATAAAGGCCAGTGAGCGAAATAAAGAGTTCAGTTCGACATTCCAACCACCTGAAGAAGGCCAGAGCGTACAACGGCCGAAAGGTTGTAATAAAGATGATGACAAATATGAGGAAAATAGTCCGAATAATGTAAATAATATATATAATATCGCTTGAGGATGAAATGGAACTAATGTCTTTAATTTAATCACAAAATTAAATTCGTGGCTTTTAGCTTCCATTTTTGAAACATGGTTAGAACTGTGTAGGGAAAAAACATATTTTAAATCAATTAATTTATAACACACACACACACACACACACACACACACACACACACACACACACACATATATATATATATATATTGATTTTTTTTATATACGTATTCATCGCGGCACAGAAATTACCATATTTCGAAATCAAAATCTAAATCCTAAATTAAACTTAAAATTTGAAGTTAGCTTCCATTTACAAGCGATGTTTTGGTTTCGAAACATGATAATTTCTGTGTCGCGATGAATAAATATTTTGAAGTTAAGATCAAATGTAGCCCAAATATGGATCCGAATCCGACAGAATGATACGATATGTAACAAATATGATACGTTTATAAATTTAACATGTTTCGATCTTATTAAGGCTTCATCAGAGAATAAGATATGGAATTTTTTTTTTTTTTTGCGTTGTTTGGTTTTCTTTGGTTAAGCATTTT